GCTTTGCACACTGTGCACAAGGCCTCCCGTTTGTCTCGACCCGGTCTGAAAGCGCAGAAACTCTTTTGTGAATCATCGGTAAACATACATTTGCGCTTTTGCATGTTGTTGGCGTACTGACAGCCATGCTATCTACATTCTGATTAAGAACAGGGCTGCCCGCACTGGCGCGGCTCAGGGATTACGTCACACGCAGCGCCTGTAAATGTAATGGTCCAATTAAGGTAATTAAAAAAAATCAGGACATTTCCTCACTTTCTAAAAAAAAAACGGGACGCCCGGGACAGGACGTGAAATACGGATATGTCCCGGGAAATACGGACGTTTGGTCACCCTAAAATAAACAGAACTTTTATTCACCTCGAACCCACTGTAGGGCCGGTGAAGTGATATTTAAAGGTTAGGAGGAGTTTAAATCCCACCTTTGGTGCATAATGTTTGGTGTCATTTAGTACTAGTACACATTGGTCAGTCCAGGAGGCTGTAGCTAACACCTGGAACAGGAGGGGCTGAGCCCAAATGGACATTTTATAATGACTCAAAACCTAAAAAAAGGTTTACTGCTCTGCTATAATCATGTTTTCATTATAATATTGTTTATTAAGACACATAGATTACATGGAAAGATTTGGACACTTCATCAAATATTCAGTTCTTTCAAAATGAATATTTAAATAAAAAAACAACAAAATGTATTAAACCCTGGAGAAGAAATTAATTTAATTAATTGTAAACGCTTGAAGTAATGGTATAAAATTCTAACTGATCAGAAATAAGGACCATGTCATCTGACCCCTCATCTGACCCCTCCTCACATTCAGCTGTCAGACGTTTGAGGCTGATGAGCTGCTGTAATAAATTATGACAGAGTTTGACTTAACTGCTTTAGAGTTGGAATGACGTTAATTCTGGTAATTATCTTTTTAAATGTCCTTCACTTCGTAGACTAATTCTGTTGGGAAATGACTGGTTTCAGGTTTCCTAAAATCTAGCAGCATCAGGAGCTTCTGCAGGCTCTTTCCAAAAGGCCTCAGATGATTCTTCAGATCTTAAATAGATCTAGACCTGAAATAAATGCCTTCAAAGCACACAGTTTTATCAACACATGTGATTTTAATGTGAATAAATATGAGCGTCTCCTATTTTGTTTTGCACCAAGATGACATTATCATGTTTTATCATTCTTTACTGTTTTAAATTCACTTCATACCTAAAATTAACTACATTTCTAAGCATTGCAGGAATTAACTGGATGTAATGTGTTTTTTCCCAGAGGGATTGTCAAATACAACAGAAAGTAACAAACATCAGTGTCAAGGCAGTGATTCACTATTTTATTGTTTTTCCAACAGCCTTGCTTAACCTCCTGTCAGTAGGTCTGAGCAGAAATGCTTCACATGCTCTGTTTTTGGAGTTTTGGAGATCTTTGCTGGAACAATCATGGTGTCCTGCTCCTGAAAGCAGATGTAATCGCATGGTTCAACAAACTCTGCAGTTGTTGGGACTGTGGCTGTTTTAAGCTGCTAGAGTTTCGCTTTCATCTTGGCCCCTTGCTCTCATCAGCTAAATGGATCCCAATATGCTAAATGAAGATGCCTAGAAGGTCACCCACTGGTAAAATGTTTCTGCAAATGTATTAAAAATCTCTATAAAAGGAGACATAGGTGATGGGCTGGCAACCCTTCTCATGTTTCTAACTGAAAAAGATTGCTGCAATGTTAGCAGGTATGCTTGTTTTTTTCTTCCCAAAGTTTCCTCCATCATTCCTGACATAAGGAAGAAAGCATTGTGAAGTTACAATACAGTTTGCCTAATGATTAGAGGCCATTTATTGTTGCTACACAGATGAGACAGTTTTTTACATTATTTAACGTCCATCTGGAAGTGAAAAATCTTTACAGAAAATGAGATAGGTAGCGTTTAAATAGTCTTTTAATTTCCTTCACTGTGCGCCATTTGCTTAGACCAGACGGTACAGTCAAGATAAGTGGATTGCTGTTCCTCGCGTATTATTGCAATTTTTTTTGGGTTGTCTTAATGTGAATGATATTCTAACTGGATAGTTTCTTTGCTGCCAGTCTCTGTGGGGTCAGTGCACGGGTATGTGGAGCGTCTTGGATAAATTGGAGTTTCACGGAACATTAGGCCGTAATTTTTAGGAGGAAAGCAGCAGTGATGTGAAAGCACATCATCCCTCACTTCAGCTCCAGCTCTCTCTGACTTGGACTTCATGCATAGTTCTTTATTAAATGTTCCTTTTTTTATCATTGTCGGAGATTATTTCTGTGTGCTCAGATACAAATGTCCCCTTAAAAGCAAAGAACAACAGCTTAGCGCTAATATTTGCAAGTAGCAGCTAGTAATAATGATAACTGAACTTTATTGATCTCACAATGGATATTTTCACCTCTGCATTTAATCTATCCCCTTGGAGAACAGTGGGCTGCCATTGTGTGGCACCTGGGGAGCAGCGTGGGGTTAAGGGTCCTGCTCAGGGAGCCAGGGCGGCCGTCTGTGGGAGTGGTGCTTGAACTCAGAACTTCTGGATTCCAAGCGCAATGCCCTAACCACTAGGTCACCCATCCCCCTAGCTAGCTAGGATTCAGCACTCAGACAGGCTTCTAGTTACTTAGAACCAGGTTAATTAGATACATATTGTCCCTTTGTAATTTATTTTTTTTTACCATTGGTTTTCTACTCTGATGGTCAGATCATAAAGATCAGTGTAATGATCTAAAACAGGTAAAGCTGACAGAACAGGCAAAAAAAGTAAACTAATAATGCATCAGCAGTGTGTGTACAAGAAATAGAAATCCTTTTCCTAAATCTATTTTAAACAGACTTTGTGCTCTGCAGCTTAAAGCCATCAGTCTGTTTCCTCCAGCTAACAGGAACAAGCGACAGCTGCTACAGCTCTGCACAGGCAGCTGTCCGTCAGCAGAACCAACCACGTTCTCATTACAGCAGCGTAGCACTAAGAGCTGCTTCCAGTCAGTGACTTCTATGCAAAGCTACACAAGTTTTCAGACTTGTGCCACGCTGCAGACAGAATACGTTGCATAGAGTCATTAAATTTAAGTTACTGTTTATTGGATTTATAGGCCAGGTTTCCATGCCTCGCTCTCTGTTTAACAGAATTCCCTCTGTCTAGGTTTGCTGTATTTGGACAGCAACAGCAGCAGCAGCTTACTTTTTAATCATCATTGGAGCTGTGCAGATATTAATAGCACTGCATGGAGGAAAAATTTGATCTGCCCTTATATTCATTTACCTTTCCCTATAAAAAACCTGGGCGTATCTCACTGTAAAGACACAAAGAGCATGTTTCCACACCTCATATGTTCCTCCTGCTTCCTATAGTTCATGTATCAATTGATTAAAGGCTTTTTTCCATTCTAAAAACCTGACTGACTTTAATGTATACACTTATTCGCATGGTTTTTCTTCCCTCTTCTTGTCGAAAACCAATGGAAAAACTGTCAAAATTTCATGAACTTTTGGTCGCTCTGTAGGCCTACTGAGTAAAAGTATAAATCCTATGGTAATTCCAAAGAAATGGTGTGAAAGCAGAGTCTTCATTCTACAAACTGTGCAAAAATTGTGACTCTAGACATAAATATGCGGCCGTGACAGCGATTTGAAAACTTTTGATCCTTTTAAAAAACAGCTGCCTCTCACTCTGAAAAGATGCTCTAGATTTCAGGACTTAAGTCAAACTTTGTGGTGCTTGATGGCTGATTTTAGAAAAACCATAGCATTATTAACATACCGTCTTCAGTTTTAGGAAGATGAAGGATTTATCTACAATGGCATTCTATGCCCCTTGCATTGCTATGGCAGGCACCAACTAGAAAGTTCCACAAGGAAATTTTGGATGTGCCTGTCACATGCAAATTTTTATATTTGTTAGTGGTTAATATTTGGACTGGTACCAAAGGCTTAATGGGGTTAGTTGGGTTAACCTTACATTGGCATAAATCACCATACTAGGTAACAAATGGTTGATGGCAACAGGCATCACCATAGCAAGTGGCGACTTGCAACACCTCACCTACTGGGGACTGGCTTCACCACACCTGTTGGCTAGTGGGTGACTGATTTCGCAATAGCTACTGGTGACTGGCGTCACAAGACCGACTGACAGTTCGGGCCGC